GAAGGTGGCTTATGTCATAAACATAAATAGTCTCTTATGAAGTCAAAACAAGCCAAACAAGGTCAAGTCAAGTCCTCTAAGAGACTAAGAGAAAGAGAAAAAGAGAGAGAAAGAGAGAGGAATGGTAGAGATTTTCTTGTAAACGTCGAGACACTCAACAGATGCGCTCGAAGATGTAATTCCTCGAAGAAATAAAATCCTCTGCAGCTCCGTGGACGTAGGCAAATTTGTCGAACCACATCAATCTGTGTGTCGCTCGGGTGTTTTTTCTGAGTGCAATTTTTCTCGTTCAATTTTTCACTTTATTGTTGTCGTTTTTTCACAACAACTGATATCGGAGCTTTTATTCGAATCTAAGGAAAAATGATGGGCGGAGACAAAGTGATGACGTCGGGGATCGAGAAGTTCAATGACACAGATTTTGTTTGCTGAAGGATGCGGATAGAACACCACCTCTATGAGAAGAAACTTCATCTTTCGTTACTGGAAAAACGACCAGAAAAGATGAACGAGGCGGAATGAAATTTGTTAGATCGACATGTTCTGGGGGTTATTCGATTAACCCCGTCGAGATCGGTTGCTCACAACGTCATCAAGGAGAGGACTACTGCAGATCTCATGGCGGCTTTATCAGATATGTATGAAAAACCATCGGCGAATAACAAGGTGCACTTGATGAAAAAGAACTTGAAGATGGTGGAATGTGTGTTTGTTGCTCTACATCTGAATGATTTCAATACTATCACAAATCAATTGTCGTCTGTTGAAATTGATTTTGATGATGAGATACATGCACTGATATTGTTGGCTTCGTCGGCTTCATTGTCACATAGCTGGGAAGTTATGAGGATGGCGGGTTGCAGGTTTTCAGGGGAAACTAAGATGAAAAAAAATATGATGATATTCGTGATTTGATTTTGGTTGAGGATGTGCGCATGAAGAATTCTGGCGAGGCCTCGTGTTCAAGTTCGGCGTTAAATGTTGATTTCAGAGGGAGATCACATGACAGAAACTCAAACAGAGTAAGATCAAAATCAAAGGCTGGTCAGCAAGCAACCTGCTGGAATTGTGGCAAGACTGGTCACATAAAAAGGAACTGCAAGAATTCTAAGAATAAGGAGAATGATGAAGCTAATATTGTAACTGAAGAAATATAAGATGCGCTATTGCTGGCAGTTCACAGTTTTATTGATGACTGGATATTGGATTTAGGGGCTTCCTTCCATACATCTTCCCGCCGGGAGTTAATGCGAAATTATGTTGTAGGTAACTTTGAAAATGTATATCTAACTGATGAAAAAGATCTAGATGTGGTAGGAATGACAGACGTTGATATTGCACGCCCTAGTAAGAGTAAATGGACTTTGCAAAAAGTGAAACATGTTCCTGAGTTGAAGAAAAACCTCATCTCTATTGGACAGCTCAATGAGGGTGGTTATTCGGTAGTGTTCTCAAATAGCATCTAGAAGGTTACCAAAGGAGCATTAGTACTGACTCGGGGCAAAAAACTGACACACTATATATGACTACAAATTTACTCAGACGAGGCCACATTAGGAGGACACATTAGTCAGATGTGCATTTTGGGGAAGCAGAAAAAGGTCAATTTCCTGAAAAGTGACAGAGCGTCAGAGGCAGGAAAACCAGACCTTGTACAGATCAATGGTGGAGAACAACAGAGCTATGAAGAAATCTTGCAATATGAGAATTCGAGCAAGTAAGAGCTGACCAAGAAGGAGGAGACGGATTCCCTGCAGGAAATCAGACTTGGAAGCTGACAGAACTTTTACCAAGAAAGAAGACATTGCAGAACAAGGGGGTGTGTCGGGTGAATATTGCGTTTGGTGATAGTAAGAGGTACAAGGTTGAGCTTGTTGAAAAGGGCTTTCAGCACGAGCAGGATATTGCTCATGTAGTGGGAGTTGTAAACAGATACAGAAGTAACTCAGGAAAGAACTTAGTGGTACAAGGCTACGTTGACGGTGATATGTCAACTGAGAGTGTTACGTGTGAGAAGCTGAAGTTGTGCTCGAATTCAGCTGGTTTTCTGGCATGAGACGAGAGATTTGAGTTGCAGAGGTAGAGGATATCGTGTTTGAGGAAAATGTTGGTATCGTTAGTAAATGATGCAGCCAGTAGGTGATGCAGACTGTGTCTTAGCCTCCAAGTGGAAGAATTTTTGGGTAATGTGGAGGTCCGGTCCACCGCAATTTAATTAGCTTCCTAATTAAGAATCTCACCTACCACTCACATACTTTCTCATCTACCGCTCACTTACCACATCCCACCTACCGCTCAGCTGCCTCCTACCTACCGCTCAACTGCCCCTACCTACCGTTCTCTTGGTTTCTATAAATAGCCTCTTATGGATTGTCATAAACAAGTCAAGTCAAACTAAGCCAAACTAAGCCAAACAAGGCCAAGTCAAGTCCTCTAAGAGAGAAATAGAGGAAGAGAAAGAGAGAGAGGAAGGGAGAGAAGAAAATATAAATTTTCTTGTAAAAGTTGAAGCGCTCGACGGTGTAATTCCTCGAAGAAATAAAATCTTCTGCAACTCCGTGGACGTAGGCAAATTTGTCGAACCACGTAAATCTGTGTGTCGCTCTGGTGTTTATTCTGAGTGCAATTTTTCTCGTTCTATTTTTCACTTTATTGTCTTCGTTTTTTCACAACAACTTACATGTAAAAATTTAAGTTTAGGTGTTAGATATGTAAATACATTGGAAATGAGTTGTATGTATGTCAATATTCCCAAATAAAATGCATGGTATTGTTAACCATATTAAAAGTATCGATTAAGATTTAGTTGTCATCCAAAAAATAATCATCCTAAGTTAACTTACAAAACAAAACAAAAGCACGTAACAAATGGATGTCATGATTCAGAAAGCTAATGTTTAGCCTAAAGTATATACTCATCATGACATCCAACAAATTCATTCACAAAAGCAAAATGCATGCTTTCCATTTCTAGACAATTAAAAACAACTTTTTATTTTTTTAAAATACTCAAATGCACACACATCGCATATGCAAACCCATGAACTCAGGACCACTTGGTTGAAAAATAAAGCACTCAACCACTAGGCTAGGGTGGCTTACATCAATGAAAAAATAACTTGGAATAAAAAGATCAAGGATAGCACATTTAGGGTTCGTTTGGGGCAGCTTATTTGGTGCAGTGACGTTTTGAAAATGGTATGTTTGGGTAAACTGCGTTTTGACAGCTCATGCATTTTCAAAACGTTGAAAACAACATTTTCACACAGGTGCGGTGGCAGCTTTCTGGAAGCGGTCTGACTTTTCAAAAAAAATAAAAAATTTATAATAATCACCACACCTAGCTTATCAACAGATTATTCAATAAGCTACAGCTGCCCCAAACAGACCCTTAGCCTAATTGATGCATGTATTTCCTCAAGCAAGCTTTGAGTGACCCATTCAAAAAGCGAAAAGAATATTGTCATTTTCCATACTCAAAGAAGACATAAATGAGCAAATTTGGCAAGTAAATAAGGTAGTATCATCTCAATACAATATAATTACACCATCTACCAGATGTAAATTTCAAACCTTCTTTTGGACAAATAAATTAATATTCTATTCTAGAAATAATTCCTAGAAATTGAATCAATTGATCTAAATTAGCATGTTGTTGACCTCATTTTGAGGTCATTACTCTTTTTCTTAGGATCCTAGGATCTAGCTATGGGGGTTCTTATTGACTATCTTAGAAAACCAGAGCTGAACTAACCCCTTTAGATATTCCAACCACTTCCTATTTCTCTTGTGATGTCTCGCACTGATGATCTCAAAACCATCGTCGTATGGTCGAGTGGTTAAGGGCTATCATGTGGAGACTCAAGGAGAAGTTTCCAATAGGATCTCAAGCCCTACGAAAATCTTATATAATATTAATTATAACCCTAAACCATATTTCCCCTTTTCCCGCACACAACTCTTCATTCGATTCTTGTGGCTCGGTCAGGTGTTCGGCTCGCCCTCTCCCTTTCGTGCCCTAGATCCTGCGGCTCATCCACGCGGCGATCCTCTCCCTTTCGACTCTTCTCCTTCTTTGCATGGTCGCTCGACCTTTCGGCTCTCCAATTGCAAGGGTCGGGCTGGCCGACCCTTCTCCTTCTCGAGGCTTTACCGTCTCCTTTATTGTGGTGATTCTTTCTTTGTCACTTGATTTGACCACAAAATGGTGGTAAATGTGGTTGTCCCCTCTCATTTCTGCCTATTAAAAAGCTTCCTAAAGTACTGTTTTGGGTTGTTAAAAATTTTTTGAGAGAAAGAAAGGCTGAGGTTTTCACTAGTTGTTGTTTGAGGCTTTTAGGAGAAGAGGCTCTGCCGAATTTCCTTATCGGCTAGGTTCTTGTGTGCTAGGGTGTTTGTGGGTCGTTGCTTCCTCAAAGGTTTTAGGAGAAAAATTTCTACAGGAAGCATTTTTCTTAAATGCATTAAGAATTATTTATTTTCTTCCCTCTAATATGCATCATTCGGATTTGCACCTGAAAGTGTTTCTTTTCTCTTCTAAAGCATGTGGAAGTAAAGTTTAGACCTGTTTTGAGATCTAAGCATGAATAGTTTCTAGAAATAGTAAAAAAAATGGAGCATAATATGGATACTTTCTCTCTATTCTGCTCAAAATGCATGATAGATAAAATTTTGGAAAATTTCAATTGTTGCCATGAGATGATAGTTGCTTATTTGGAATATATGCTAGAAATATAATGTTGAAATTCTTTGTTGTTGTTACTCCTGTTCAAATATATGCTGGAATTCGTTTCGATGCTTTCGGATGTTGGTTTTAGGGACCAACTTGTGTTTCTCTGTTTCCTGTTACCTATCCCTGTTCGAAGTATATGCTAGATGCAAATTTTGGGTTCTAAGGTTTTGTGGAACATGATTCTTTGTGGCTCTGTTTTGGCCCATTTGGTGGGCTCGAATTTAGCTTCTTTTGGATTAAATGTTAGCTGGAAATTTTGCCTTGTTTTCCCCATATGGATAGGTTCTGTTTTAGCTCTTTAGAGTTGGATCTTTGCTGGAAATATTTTTTATTTGTTTTGGCCTATTTGTGGAATTCAGTTTTAGCCCTTTGGAGATGGATTATTGTTGGAAATTCTTCTCTTATTTTTCCCATGTATTGGGTACGATTTTAGCTATTTCTGGGTTGGATTTTGATTGAAAATGTTATTTCTCTGTTTTCCCATTTAATTAGACTCAATTTGTTCTGAAATCTGTGCTCAGTTCAGCTCAGAGGTATATCTGTCATTGGCCCCTTTTTATGGGTTTATTTGAGCTCAAATTGTGTTTCATTTTATTCCATATGTTGGATGCGATATTGGCTGGAATTCTATTTATGATGTCCTTCTTGTTGGGCTCAGGTGTGCCTGTTATGGTTCCTTGTCTTACTCTTCTTGCTGGGCTCGGTTTACCTTTTACGGCTCCCTGTTTTGTCTTTTTTGTTTGGTTCAGCTTGCTTAAGTTGTCACTCTGTTTTTGTCCCACCTAGCTAGGCTCGGTTTAGTTGGAAGTTCTTCATATAACGTTCCTCCTGGGATTGTTATTGATAATGAAGTTTGTCATCCCATAAATTATGATTTCAATGTATGCTTCTATGTTGGAATGTTTGATGTAAGTTGATCAACTCGTTATTATGTCTTGTTTGATAAAAATGACTTCAATCTCGATAGTTTACGGGAGCTTGTCCATTCACTCTTTTATGTATGATAAAAGAGCATAATAACAATGTTGTGGTGACTTTTCCTTGCTGCCCCTACCCCTGAACTTTTGTCATATTTCCTGTCCTAAACCGTGGGCTTATATTGGAGCTTGGTTCTGCTTTTTCTGGCTTCTGCCTATGGGCTTGTTATGAGGTCCGACTGTCCATTTTCTTGGCCTTACCCGTGAGCCCCTATCTTCTTTCTTGTCCCTATCCGTGAGCCTGTTGAGAATTATTCAGACTCATTTTGCCCTGACTGTGAGCACTTCTATATTCTCTAAATTGGTGTTGCACTTATACAATTGTGAAAAGCTTTTCATGAGGGGTGGAATTGAACGAACTTGATACTAGCAGGATTTTTGGAAGTCCAGAAGGTTGCCCTCTATGGATTATTCACCTTTATTTTGTGAAATATGAAAGACTCTTAAAACTTCATTTCGGGAAATCATAAAGTTGATATGAATCGGATTTATGAAAGATTTGAAAAATTCATAAGATTATCGTTTGGGGAGGACTTGGAGGCTTGACATTAAAATTTGGATAATATAAATGCCGCATTCGAATTTAGGCTTGGGTGTGTGAATATATAGGCAGTGGTGGAGTTGTTTATACAATTGTCACATTGATTTGAGCCCGTTTCGATCTGTTAGAAACAAGATTTGGAAAGAATACCTTTTTTTGTTGATCCATTTATAAAATTTGAGAAAATGATATCCTTCTTGGATTGATTCAAAGATCTTGGGCTCTCTTTTTCAGATCTTTCGTCACGGTTTTGAGGGTTGATTCACCATTCATCCTTTCAATCTTTTGGGTGGATCAGCTCCTCCTCTCCCTCATTCCCATTTTTATTCTTTTTTTTTCCTTGCTTCTTAGTTTATTTTCGGTGCTTATGTCTGACACATAAGTGCCCATATATAGCCTTTTGCAATATAAGAAACCGTCAAACAAGGTCGCAAGTAGGTCGGTCTTGTTTTGGGACTTAGGACGATGATGACAAAGGTACGTCAGTAGTAGAGCGGAATGATATTTCATCCTACGACATCAGGACACAATCCATGGGGTCCGATGAACCATAGGATGATAATATCATTCACCGACACAAGACTAGCGGGGGACCCGTACCTTCTTAGGTTGTCGGCGGTCATACGCCCCACGACGCGATCTTTAAAACTGATAAGAATAGATACAATATTTATAAAAATATTTTCACTATAAAATTGATACAACTTCCTTTTTGTATGCCTGAAATCCATGTGTATGCTAAAATATAAATTTTAAATGTGTTACAACTTGGTTGTCCACTTGTTGATTACCGATACCGGGCTAAGGAGCACCCTCCTAACTTAGATTTAGTAGGACACCCTTCTAGTTGAGTGACGAGCTCTATACATCTGGGTGACCGATAGTAGCCTTCGACGTCCATCGAGTGCAAATATATTATATTTGAGCCTAGCTCCGACCCGAATGCTTGTGGTCTCCTCTTTTCGAATTTTTTGTATATTTATTAGAATTTTTGGGCAAGCACTCGTGGTCCCTTTTCCGGGATCTTCCCGAGATTTTGATAATTTTCTTGGAATTGTCATTTGTCGATTTTTAGGAGTTTTCCGTCGTGAGTCGTTTGTCAATTTTTACCGAGTTTTCCGTTGTGAGTCATTTATCGATTTTCTCAAGTTTTCCAGACAATGTTTCTTTTGTTTATAAAGTGAATAATAGTTAGCTTAAAGGAGCAACAGGTCTCCCAAATATACAGAATATAAATGTTTGATTTACATTACAGCATTTTACTTCAAAACATATGGTACTAATCTTTCTCTTTTATGTCGCACATTCTACTATTTTTTTATTGTTATACTGCATGTTTTATTGTTCTGTTACACATTATACCTTAGTGTAGGAAAACCTAATGATTACATGTACCCTTTAAAACTAATATCAATAATAACTAATATCAAACTCGAAAGTGTTACGATGAGGAGCTTGGAGCGAACACTGTGGGCAGCACGACGATGACACTCAGAAGAGCACAAATTCACATCACTAATCACTTTTCTTAGTTTAAATAACAACCCATATCACCTTTAGGCTAGCGCAGCGTAAACCCTCACATATCACTTTTAGGCTTTTGCACAACTCTGTTGTCCTAACACTTTAGAATTCCGAGGTTACTGTACGGTATGGTGTAAATCCTCTTATCTTTTTAGGTCATTTGCACGATCGAATATTGTGCAAATATAAGTCCTAAATTCTAAATAAATTGCAGGATTAAACATTAAACAACATCATTTCAAAGATATAAAGTCAAACAATAGGATATTTGGGAGGTCATTGGGATTCTTCATGGATCTGTGATATTCCTTACTCTTCATTCATTTGGATTCTTAAAAATAACTGTTTCTATTTGGGTCATTCCCATTTGATTTTCCCATGTTCAATCTTGGAAACCTAAACTTTGAAATCTGGAAGGTAAAACCACTGATCTTAATCGAGAGTTTTTTAAGTGACCCCGGTCATTTAAGATGTAATTAACTATAAGGGTTTGCCTCTATAGGGAACTTGGAACCCAGGTAAAATAAAATCTATCTACTCCTCATATTAGGTAGAGGAATTTGTTGGCCTCATACAAAATATTTCGCAGACCAAACGGATGTCACAAATTATTTAGTTTAGGTGATTGAGTCTACTACGAGTGATATGTTTATCCTTCGGGATAAGTGTATTACTTGTGATATCGTGCTTATTCATCCAAACTATCCAAAATGTGAGACTTGTTCGGTCTCATCTATTTCAAAAATTAAAATATTACTTTCAAAATTAAAAATCACATATTTATATTAAAACTATGTTCATATTTACAAAAATCATATCCTTTCAAAAAAAATAAATAAAGGCCGACACATGCTCACTTTTTAACACACATAACAATTCTTCAAGATACTAGGACTTTATTTAACTCAAATAATGTATTGTTTAAAACGTTATATTTTGTTGCCTTAGATATCTTGTTAGAACAGTATCACATAAAATCCACTTTGCAAATACCTTCTAGAAATATTAGAACAGTATCACTTACATACTAGGGTATGGATATAAAAGAAACAGTTAAGGGGCACGAGCCTGAAAAATTGCTGCCCCACTGGCGCTCTACCCCTTCCACAGCAGCAGCTATGGCACTACCCTGCTCAGCAGCCTTTTCCATTCTTGATATAGCATCATACAGACATTTTGTGATGTCTAGCATGGCAATAACTTCGCTATTTTCAACAACAGGAAGATGCCTAAATTTTCCTGCAGGAAGTAAAATTAAATAATAGTCAACAGGCTAAGTAACATTAGTAAAAAAAAAATTAAGAAGACAATGCTATTACAAATTAAATAACTTCGAAAAACCATTAAACATTTGTCACCATAAATGAATTTTGTACCCCAAAATCTTTTTCATTTCAACTTCATAAAAAAAATAGTACACAAATCCAGAAGGGAATGGATTCTGTAAATGGTCATTAGAAAATGTCCAATAAACAACCATAAAATGAATTCCATTATGATGCTAAAATTACACAAAAAAAAACTTCAGTTTTTTACAGTTCCTTTAGTTAAGCGGGTAAACAACATGGACAAGAACAGGTTCAATCTTGTTCGAGTAGAACTAAAAGCTCAATTTAGTTATTTAATTATTAATATGAGCATAAGCCAGCATAACAACAAGCTACACCGATGGCGATCAAATGTACTGACAAATTTACGAATGAAGACCTCGATTTCATGACAAAAGGTTTGCAAATTTCATGATGGAATGGCTTTTAAGTATCAGGGAACATAAAACATGCATTATCCACCATTTTTATAGTATAAAAAAGGTCATTAATGATAAATAAGCATACATTTATGCACATCAGCTTAGCGTAAATCAAGTTGGTCCATAATGTTTGACTTGCTTATAAGATGATAAGGTTAAAATTCTTGTTATAACTCGGTAAATTTAGTACTTAAAAAGGTAAACAATACTGTTTTGCAAACATCAATCTTTTCTGCACCCCCTATTTTTAGTTGACTTTATCTCAATAATCCAAAATCAAATTCAGAGCTGCATGAGAATGGTTTTGACGTAGCATACTGATAGGAGAAAATCAATGTAAAACAACTGTTGCATGTGCATTATGCAGACTGGCAACTGAAAAAACATAACCAGCACCCGAAAAACTCAAGCAAATATTAATAAAAGTAACATAAATAAATGAATAATAGTTTATAAACTAACCTTGGATCATCTTCTGCAATGCTTCGATTGCCAGGGTGTCCGCCATCACAAAAGTAGGATTTCTAGTCATAATCTTCGAAACAACAATCTGATCTGGCCTCAATCCATCTGCAATGACCCTCGTAGAAATGTCCTGTCCATGTAAACGCCACAGAGAATATTGGACCGCAGTTAAATGAAAACGACAAAAATAAACAGCGGTAGCAGATGGCCACCTTATCGGTGACGATTCCGGATAGAAGCCCATTCGCATCAGTGAGAAGAACAGCATCGACCCGCCGAGCAGCCATTCTCCGGCAAGCATCGGAGACCGTCGTTCCCTCTGGTATCGTAAGCGCTTTCGAAAGCCTGAGCTTCTTCACCGTCCTCTCATTACTGTTCGAAATCAATGAGTTCAGTAAAAGCAAAAGAAAACTATGAGTAAGAAAGAACAGAAGAGATCTCATTAGGCAAGATTCTCACGTGGTTTGATTGGGGGAAGAGGGCTTGGATATGCTCCCATTAGCAGGCGTCGTGCCACCACTATTCTCGGATGGCGTGGCCTTCTTCGCCGCCGAAGCTCCACGGCGTGTGGCGAGGCCGTTCTTCCTCGGCTGCGGAGGGTTCATATTGCCGTTCATGGCCTCGTATTAGGGTTTAGGGTTTTTCCCACAATTACCTCCGATATATGACTCAATTTTCCCTTGATTCGGAGATGGAGCTCAGCGGAGAAAGGGGAGAAGAGAAGGAAAGGTGGTCGAGATCGAGAGGGAGAGAGGGGTGAGGATTTCTTCCCGTTTCTGGTCGAGATCGAGAGGGAGAGAGGGAGAGAGGGGTGAGGATTTCTTCCCGTTTCGCTGTCTTCCCCTCTTGCCTACGTCGATTCCTCCTCTCCACAGCTTAATTCCGAGTTGGAGGTACTATAGGTTTCAACTTTCAAACTGTCATTTCTTCGTCAATGATTCGATTCAAAGATGGAATGTTGGGGCATTCGCTTACATACCATCTAAATCTTTTGTATTTCTATACTGAGAACTTAAACATTAATTTTTAAATTTATATCATTTAAATATTCTATGAGCTTTCTATATACATGACATTTGAAACATTGTTATTTACATATCTCTCGCTCAAATTTTAATTTTATCAAATCAATACTTTGGTTAACCTCACACATTGATGGTGGTTGTTCACAACAAATGAGTAATTAAATGAACCATTATAGTTATTAGGTCAACATCCTATGGTTGTGTCCTAGCTCCACAACAACACACTGTTTATAAATACGGGGCTTGGGTGCCGTAAAAAATCTCGTTGCACCTAGGTTTCTATAAAATTTTTGTTTTTTATTCAAAATGTCTCTAGAAGTCCTCCATTGACATGGGGCAATGTTTAGCAAAGATAAGGAGCTTGAAAGCTAGGGTGTTTCGTGAACGTAGCACCAAATGAGAGATACAATAGTGGCCTCCCGTAAGCTCATTCCATAATAGGACTTTTCCCTTATCGAGAAGCCTACGACAACAAGTTTGGGAGTCCTTCGTCGTTGAACCTGATACTGTTGTATTTCCTATTGTCTGAAACTTTATGGCATTTGCCAAAGATGCCTTAGACAATAAGGTTTTGTTCGAGGATAGCCAATTCCATGCGATAAAGCGGCCATCAACAACATGTTCGGCCAGGTCAGATGTGATGCTAATGAATACATTCATTTTTTGGATGACCCTGAGTTTTGAGGATCCTCCGGGACCTCACGCAATCTGATTATGGGCTCGCTGACATGGGCGCAACGAGCAAATCCTTCCTCGAGACTACTTTGAATTGTGAGTCTATAGCATGTCACCTTTTCATTTTGTATGGCTCTTGCTAAGCTCATATGTGAGTGATATCACTCAAAATCATATTAACCTCAATTATGTATTCCAGAACAAGTTGACGGTCGGCATCAATGGAGCATGACTAGCAATGTTACACAGGATCAACGTTCGTGTAGGCTAACGTACTCCCAGTAAAACTCGTTGTGCGACATGCTCATAGTATACCCTCATTTCTAAACAAAGTCCATACTATCCATCAGTGGAGCATGGAAGGTGTTGAGAAATATGGCTAAGAAAAACATGAATCGACACAAATCCAAAAGAACACACAGAGATTTACAAGGTTCGGTAAAGATGTCTACGCCTTTGGCAGCAGAGCGGTGACTTTCTTTTCAATATTCAGAAAAGAGTACAAAATACAAGATTTGGAATCTTCCTCACCTAGGGTTACAAACATGACATATATATAACCCTATAAAATAATATGTAATTATTTAAATTACCCATTTACCAAATCGCGGGGTATTGTCCCGCACCCTCAACCCACATAATGAAACTCCCCCAATTGAACATATCCTTTCGCTCCACTCCGTTCGTTGGCTCCGCTCAGCTCGAGCATCTGTCCCATTTATGGTATATAAGCCATACCTAACAAATCTCCACCTTGGCTAATATTCAGCCCCTTAAGAGAAATATATCGTGGAGTTTTTTATGCACCAATGTAGGTTGGGCCATCATGCCGTCTAACAATTGCAAACATTCAACAAGTTCAAGCGATATAAGAACTTGTTGATAGTACATGGCTTGGTAAACAATCTGTTGCATTTTCATCGTATGATTCAATAGAGTGAACTCCACCTACAGTTGTACTCTTCAATAGTTTATAAATATTACATGTAGTTAACTTTCATTTCATCACAGTCAGTGCACATTTAACAATTATGATGGTTTCCTTATCCTTATCTGCCTTAGAAATAAAACCATTTATACGTAAAGTGCCCAAAGAAATTAAATTCTTCTTCAAATCCATAATATGTCTGACCTCTCATAATGTTCTAACAGTGCATTATGCATTTTAATTCTGACTTCCCTAATACCAAAAATATTGCAATATTTATCATCATCTAAATAGACTGAGCCAGAATTAATTAACCTGTATGAAATAAACCACTTTCTGTTAGGTGTTATGCGATAAGAGCATCCTGAATCAAGAATTCATGCATCAAAGAACTGAGTTGATGAAACTGAAAGCATATCATCATCACTGCAATCTAATTTGTCACTCTGCACCACATTTATAGACTTGGATGATGCATCACCTTTTTCCCTAGTCCACTTCTTGAGCTTTGGACAATCTCTCTTCATCTCTTCATATGACCTGACTCCTTGCACTTGTAGTAATAAATCGTCTTTTTGCCTCTGGAATTTCGCCTTCCATAGCTCTCATTCTCCTACTTCCTTCCTCAATCCTGAATACCCTTAACATATAAAATGTCTTCATAAGAGTTTTCTCCTACATTATGCTTTCGCTGGTTGTGAGCCAACAATGTTGCGGTAATCTCATCAACTTTGATAGTTTTTTTTCCATATGTCAAAATAGTCACAATGTGTTCATAGGAAGAAGGCAATGAACACAACAAAATCATTGTTCAGTCTTCATCATCAATACTCACATCAAGCATTGATAAATCCGTGATTATTTGATTGAAGTCATTCACATGCTATGCTAGATCAAAACCTTCTTGCATCTTCAACCCATACAACTTTTGTTTTAGATACAATTTATTCGTCAGAGATTTGGACATAAACTAAGTTTCCAATTTCTTTCATACCTCCTCTAGAGATTTCAGATTCATCACCTGATACATAACCTCATATGTTAGACATAGGCGTATGTTGCAATTATTCCCAACTTGGTCCTCCATGGCATCTGGTTTTACTGCTCGCAAAGCTTTCACGATTTCTCGTTACGCCAACAACTTTTTCACTCTTGTTTGCTATGATCTGAAGTTACCAGTTCCATCAAATGTCACTATTTCAAAATTTGTACCAGAAATTACCTTATGAAATTGATCATGCAACGAACTCCTCTACAAATTTCTCTATTGAATTTATAAATTGTTTGAGCCAGAAATTGTGCTTACTTTGATCCTACCACAAATATTTTTAAATAATTCCTTAATTAAAATTTTCTTAATTAAGTTTCATAGAAAAAGTACTTTCTCTGAATTAATTTTTTCTTAATTAAACTTTCTCAAAAATCATTTTCCTTAAACTTCTAAAAAAAGCTCCCCTTTCCTTCCCAAAAAGCTCCGCCTCTGCTTTCCAGAAAATCTCATTTTTTCTTCTCAGAAAAGCTCCGCCTCCGCTTTCCTTCAAGAAAGAAATCTTTTCTTTCTTCAGCCTTACTGCCTCCAGCAAAGGAAATCAGAGATTCCTTGCCTTTACCTTCGCATCTCTACCAAAGGAAATCCATTCCCACCTTCCTCGCGAACAGCTTTGTTCCGCTTTCCTTCCAGAAAAGCTCCTCTGAACTTTCCTTTTTCGCGCGGGAAATGTGCGATCACAAACCCTCGCGACTCTTGCAATTCGCCTTTGTCGCAATTCAAATTGTTGGCGTCAAAGTCATCGATGCCGCCTGCTCGTGAATCTATCAAACCTTCGAAGCCCGCTTCGCCTTCGAACTTCCTCTACCCGAAACAAACGCCCTAGCCGCCGCACTCTTGATTGAAGTCATTCACATGCTATGCTAGATCAAAACCTTCTTGCATCTTCAACCCATACAACTTTTGTTTTAGATACAATTTATTCGTCAGAGATTTGGACATAAACTAAGTTTCCAATTTCTTTCATACCTCCTCTAGAGATTTCAGATTCATCACCTGATACATAACCTCATATGTTAGACATAGGCGTATGTTGCAATTATTCCCAACTTGGTCCTCCATGGCATCTGGTTTTACTGCTCGCAAAGCTTTCACGATTTCCTGTTACGCTAACAACTTTTTCACTCTTGTTTGCTATGATCTGAAGTTACCAGTTCCATCAAACTTCACCATTTCAAAATTTGTGCCAGAAATTACCTTATGAAATTGATCATGCAACGAACTCCTCTGCAAATTCCTACAAATTTCTCTATTGAATTTATAAATTGTTTGAGCCAGAAATAGTGCTTACTTTGATCCTACCACAAATATTTTTAAATAATTCCTTAATTAAGATTTTCTTAATTAATTTTCACAGAAGAAGGTCTTTCTCTGAATTAAATTTTTCTTAATTAAACTTTCTCAAAAATCATTTTCCTTAAACTTCTAAGAAAAGCTCCCCTTTCCTTCCCAAAAAGCTCCGCCTCTGCTTTCCAGAAAATCTCATTTTTTCTTCTCAGAAAAGCTCCGCCTCCGCTTTCCTTCAAGAAAGAAATCTTTTCTTTCTTCAGCCTTACTGCCTCCAGCAAAGGAAATCAGAGATTCCTTGCCTTTACCTTCGCATCTCTACCAAAGGAAATCCATTCCCACCTTCCTCGCGAACAGCTTTGTTCCGCTTTCCTTCCAGAAAAGCTCCTCTGAACTTTCCTTTTCCGCGTACAGTTTCCTTTTTCGCCTCCGCCTGCACTGTCATGAATCTGTCGCTGGTCTGGTCGCTAACTTTTTGAAGCCGACGATAACTTTTTGAAGCCGCCGATCGCAACTTCTTGCAGTGAGAAGCCTTGCCGCGACCCAAAATCCTTCGTCGAACTCCCTCGGGAACTGTGCGATCACGAACCCTCGCGACTCTTGTGATTCGCCTTTGTCGCAATTCAAATTGTTGGCGTCGAAGTCATCGATGCCGCCTGCTCGTGAATCTGTCAAACCTTCGAAGCCCGCTTCGCCTTCGAACTTCCTTTACCCGAAACAAACGCCCTAGCCGCCGAACTCCTCGACCAAAATATTTTTTGTTAATGTGCTCCAAGTTTGTATTCCCTGCCCT